CAGTTAGAATATGCATTTATGTTGATGTCTTTTGTTTAATGAGTAAAACAATGTGCATTAGAACATTTCTTTTCCAGAGATAAATAAAAACAACATTAGACATCGATATGTGAATAAGTGAATATTTAATGGAGTGTCCTCATTTTTCACACGACCCATATGAACCACTATAAGTCACATATATGGATGTTAACATATCTGTATCTGCATTGTGTTGCTCTGCTGTTTAACGGTTATTCAGCGTCCGGGTTGAGAACGTTATTAAAGCTGGAACGTGTTCTCGCTCTGGAGGTGTGAACCCGGGAACGCTGCCACTTTACGAGTCCCACCATTTGCTAACAGCAGCCAGCAGACTGCAGAGGCTGAAAACTGGCACCTTCACCACCACCACCACAACAACAACAACAACAACAACAACAACAACAACAACAGAGTTACACATTGTCACTTTTAACATCAGTAAAGGAACATTCACTCAGACTGTTGATCTGTGAGTCAGCTCTCAGATAAAACCAATACAGTGACAGAAACTGAACCTGTGCTCCTCAGCCAATCAGCTTCCACCGTCTGTCTTCAGGTGAGAGTGGGCGGGGCCAGCATATGATTGACAGGTTGATTTTAAAAAGGTTTTTAATATGTTGTTTTGTGTGTATGTGTATGCAGCCCCTCCAGCTCACCTCAGGAGGACCCGTTTGTTCCGCTGCAGTCTGCGCATGTCTGTGCAGGTGTCGCTGTTGACACCTCGCGGAGCTCCTCGCGCACATGGATGAGTTCACACCTCCACAGACTCTTTCCCACGAGACCCTCTCTCTCTTTCTTTCTCTCACTCTCTCTCCCCCCTCAGGCACGCGGCCCTCTTGTCTCACCTCCACAAACGCTCGTGCCGCCTCTTGTCGGACCATTTGGACACGTGCGGGCGGACAAAAGGTGAACAGATCGATAATCAATGGATCAATAGATTGTTGGAGTGTGTGTGAGTGTGTGTGTGTGGGGGGGGTCGATAAACAGATGGCGCGCGGTCGAATATGCTCTTATTGTCTGCTGATGGCGGTGACGCTTCCTCCTCGCGCTGCGTGCACGCGTCCCCGGTGATCTCCAGGGAGCGGACGCTGCACGTGCTGAGCAGGTATCAGATTGATGATCAATATTATTAATCAGTGATCATCATTATTAATCAGTGATTGATGTGTTTCATACAGCCTGTTGTTGCACACACACACACACACAGCCTGCCTCTTCTGCTTCTCTTTGTTTTGCCGTGTATTCACACTGACTGTTTATCACGAGCGAGCAACTCTCAGAATTAGTTTAAGTCCATTAAATCTGAGTTAGAGGGGCACTGGGTGAAGAAGAGTAAAATATGACTCTGCTGCGTTCGCTTGCTTGGAATGAGGCAGGAAAATCAACAACTGGCTCATCAATAAAGCACAAACCTTTCCTGCATCACAAATCAACCTTATTTACACAAAGTGAATGGCATCAGCAGCTTGACTCTGGCACAAAACCCACCGCATTAAAGGCAATTCATCCAATAAAGAGTAGCAGCAATTTTGTTGGACTTTAATAAATGCTTTCTCAATTGATCTCAGTTGAGTCTGGCAGCAGTCCACAAACAATGGAGCAACCATTAGGAAAATGTACAACTTGCATCACGAGACAATTTCAGAGCCAAATCAGAGAGTAAGTATATGTCAAGCAACTATTATATTTACACACTGCACCAGCACGCACATGCTCAACGTTAGGCTTACCAGCTGTCTGATTCCAGCTCCAGTAAGGACTGAGTCCTGTCAGAGGCACACTGCAGACACCACATGTTTCCTCCCGGATCCCTACATCAGACCCATCACCACCCTGCTCTGTCTTACTCCATCCCTGGGCTAAATGTAGCTCACAGCTTCACTCTCAGACAGCTCTGGCCTTCCTTCAGAGCCTTACGAGGAGGGGCGTTTCGCAGGAAGAGGGAGGGAATTCCTCCAGAGGAAACTGGGTCGTGTGGCAGCGGGAGCACTGGTGCCCTGCAGATGAGGAGGGTCTTAAAAACAGGAAGGGGCAACGAGTAAGAAGTAAAAATGGAAGAGCGACTGACCAAGCTCTGGTGGTGAGAGCCAGTAGCAAGAGAATCTGGGTGGCAAGGATGAAGCCTGGGGAAACCCCTGGATGTGCCATTTTAGCTGCTGTGATTGTGGAGGTACGGCTGCATTAATGTGGTCTGTCCCCCAGACATCAACCTTCAGCCTCATATGGAAGACATATACAGTGTCTACTTTACAACTGCTGATCAAAGGCCTAAAAAGATTACTTAAAATGATACTATCACGGTCATCTAACAGACAACGCCGAACAAGTAACAGCTGCTCGGCTATCCTCTAAACAAACAGCCCAGTTAATAGGGAATGTTTGACTCACAGCCCCTCCCATCTCTGTGCTGATATTTAGGGTGATTTCCCCCACTCCTATTCCCCTGCCCAGGCCCAACAAGTGAGCAGTGCGGGACCTATCCGTTTCTGTATAATGACATCATTACCCAAACAACGGGCGTGTATCAAGGGGACCAAAGATGTTATCGAAACAAGGCAACCATGCAGCGTAAAGCGCTGAGATAACACAGCTAATAGCTTTGGTTTGAGAACCGCCATGACTGGAAGCCCCTCAAAATGTCTTGTGATTCTGTATTGTAACCAACAGAGAAGCGTATATAGCTTACATGCCTCAAGAAAACAAATTCTTAATGACTGTATATAATGTGGAAAATAATCCTGATTACAGTCTGTAATAAGTAAGAGTGAAGAGGGAGTTGGTGCGGTATTCCTTATGGGCCATTATAGAACTTCATAAAAAGGAGCAAGATGTTTCCCATATGGTGAAGGTTTATGTAAAGTGCAGCAAAGAGACACACTGAAAATGTAGAGTTCATTATAGTTAATTATAAAGGGAGTTAAGATGATCTCTCAGAGGACAAATGTGGACAAAAACTCCCTGACACTCCTTTTCGGAAGTGCAACTCTGGACAATGCTACCCATGGAGCTCAGGGAGATCTCCACTAAAGCACCAAAAAGAACTGATTTCTGTATGGCCCAAAGATGAAAAAAATGAAGTAAAAAGCCTGAACTGAGCCCTGAGGGATGCCCAAACCTGAAATTGCCCAATCAAATGTAAATTCAGGCTAAAGTAGACACTAATTTAAACATTGAGCCTAGCCCAGCACTATCTAAGCCAGTTGGTTCCCTTTAGCATTAATCAAGCTTATGGTAAAGCTGCACCAGTTAACACCCACTACATCTGTTTGAATACAGACAGGGAGTTTCAGACAGCTGCTTTTGATCAGACCTTAGGTTATTTTTGTCCCTCTCATCTCTATCTTTACAGTGAGCATCCAGACTGTACAGTAGGAGAGAAGATGGTGTATTTTTACCTCACATATGAGTCGGAATCTGTGCCATATGCTAAAGGGGAGGCACTCGTCAACATACAGCGGCAGTGTGACACATTTGAAATGATTCATGGACTCGGTGACAGTGACTGTCACTTTACACTGACAAAATAAAAAAAAATTAAAATTGAAAATATCTGCTTGCTGGCACAGAGTCAGGCGAGAAACCTGACAGCACACTTATGTCTGTGCATTAAGTACGGAGCTGGAGCCTGGAACAGCTAGTTAAATGTCTAAAAATAAACCTACTACCAACACCTCTGAAGCTCAGTAATTCACACATTTAACATAGTTTGTTTAATCTGCACATGAATAGAAATGTAAAAATAACAATTAGTGGTTTTAGGGGGAATTCTATGCTATTTCTTGACAAGCAACAGTTTATCCATCCACCCAGGTCTTCTGAGCAGTGGTCTCTGCTGGTTGCCTGCCACCAACAGTGACAACATGGCTGCAGGAAGTCACTATGTGCATGGCTGGTTGTTCTCCAATAGATAAAGATGTCAACCTTAGAGAGAGCACCAGTTTTTTACAGGGTACCCCCATGCCCTGTCAGACAATTCAAGTCCCGTCATTGACACCAACATTTAATTTACCATTTATCCATTATACACATTATACACAAGGTCCAGTGTGTAACATTCAGGAGGATGTATTGTTAGAAATTGAATATTATATTTATAGGTATGTTTTCATTAGTGTATATTCAGCTGAATATAGGAATCGTTGTTTTTTCTTTACCTTAGAATGAGTCATTTTTATCTGTTCCCTTCCATGGAGTCCACCATGTTGACCCTCCATGTTTCTACAGAAGCCCAGAATGGACAAACTCAACACTGGCTCTAGATAGAGACTGAGTTTTGCGGCCACATGAGTTTCTCCTACACACTTCAAAGCCCGTTCTCATTCCCAGGTCATCAAATACAGAAAAGGTGTTCAGTTAGTTGCAATCTGATATGCCACTAAATCCTACACACTGATCCCTCAACTATTTGTGTTTATCCATCTCTGTTAGCAAACTGTTTGAACTTCTCTTCTTACTTGCTAACCAGATATTGCTCACTCTCAACATGGGTTGAAATCTAAATGTCTAAATCTGTTGAACTATTACAAGAATAGCTGCTGCAATGCTGTATCTAATGGGGATCCTAACGAACCCAACTAAACTAATGTAAACTCAATCTGTCCATGTACCCCCAAGCAACTGCAAGTGAACCCTGGTTGGGAATCACTAGTGTAGATTATTTTAAGAAAATGGGGGTCTTTGTTTGGTAAGGTAAGGTAAGGTAAGGTAAGGTAAGGTAAGGTAAAAAATATGCTAACTATGCTGCTGGTTTTCAACATTGCACTTTGCATCAGGTTCCCAACATGACCTTTGAGGTGCGTGTGTGGAATGATAACACCGGAAGAAACCAGACTGAGCTGAACATGATGAGAATAACTAAAAATATAACTTGACTTTTGATACTCTCTCAATACAACCTCAATTTAAGTGAAATTAAGATGTTGACCTGACAGTTTTATCTAAATATTATTTATTTTATTACAGTCAGAGTGCTTGTGTCCATGTCACTGCACTGATTGTTATGTGCGTCCTTCTGTGTTTATTATCTCTATATGCACTTAAAAAGCCACTGAGGAATTCATAAAACAGCTGGTCCTTCTAAAGTATGAATAATTCTGACCGAGTGCTTTAACAGTAAGTTTGCAGAGAGACAACTCCACACCGGATGGCTCTTTTAAGGGCTTGTGTTACAGACACACCTGTCACACTCTGTCTAGACTCCAAAGTGGAAACAGCAGGAACTGTCGCCCTTGTATTAATCCCTACATCAGTTGCAGCTCCTCAGCCGACCGGACTGGACTGGTGTCACAGCTCCGGTCCAACTATAACCAGCCAAGACACCACCCCTCCGCCTCCCTCCACGATGTCCAAATCTCTCCACCTCCTCCTACATTTGGGGCGACAACCTGCCACTCCCACAGCGGTGATACATTTCACATACTGCATGAGACTGGTTTTCATCTTGCAGGGACGAAAATAGACTCACTGACAGACACTGCATTTTCTGCTCTGCTTGGTAAGTAAATTGACCAGTCTGTGTGAGCTGGAGACAAATGTGTCTGCACGTCCACCTCCACCAGATGCTGTGGCTGCGGCTGAAAACAACAGCAGCGCTGATTAGAAACACGAGGAGCTCGCTGAGAGTCACCACACTGGGAGCTCTGACAAACATATATAATGGTTACATGCGCTGCAGTGCTGGAACTGTCATTCATCGACCAAAAATGCAAAACATCCACCCGGGTTAACTTCAAAAATGATGACCTGCTGCTTTTTTCTGTTTTATATAACTGTGACTGGGTTTTAGACTGCTGGTCGTACACCTTTTCCCTATTTTGTAACTATTTATGAAGATAAGCCTGCTGCTGCTATTCATACAGCATTTCAAAAGCCACACAACCACCTGTAGGCTGTGAGTCTATGTCCCCCTATAGGAGGAAGGTTAGTATCATCACTCCCCACTCCCTGCTGTTCTGAGCTTTGTGCTTTGCTGTTGGGGGTCAGAGCCTAGACACCAAACATTATATACCCCACATATTCTACATCCACATAATGATCTATTCCACCTGAGCCAGCTGACTGAAAGAGATCCTGGTTGACTGACTATTGAGTTTTGTACAAAATGACAGGTGTACCGACCACTGGGGGCAGTTTCAGCTACAGTGCTGCGCCACATACCAGTTACCTTTCTTCTGTCACATTTTGACAAAGTGTGGGTACATATCCATCCTTTTTTATGAATAACCCATTTGTGAACACCTAACTTAAATGTGTGCCGTGGCCGTAAACGAACAAAAGTTCTGTAACTCACCAAAACTCATTGTGTGCATCCTTGAGGTCTAACAAACATGATACATGCCTTCATCCCTCATTAAACCTTTGCAAAGGCCATTTTTTGACGCAAATGGCTAAACGTTGCAGCCTAAGCAAACTGACATATGCTATGTTTTAGCAACCCTGTCTTCTACATGTTCACATACAAATTCTTAATTTAAAGAATTGTAATTAATTTTTTTATGACCATAATAAGGTTTTTATTAAATGTATCTGTACAGTATCTGCTTGTGGTCACTAAAGCATGATGGACGGTTTTATGGGTTTTACACGTAGTTAAGGGAAATATGGTGGTGTTGGCTGGCGCCTCATGTACCAAGGCTGAGTCCTTGTGGCAGTGGCCATGAGTTCGAATCCGACCTGTGGCCCTTTGCTACGTGTGAACCCCTCTCTCTCTCCCCTTTCCCTGTCAATATCTCAAGCTGTCCTGTCTATCATATATATATATATATATATGTTTTAGTAGCCAGATTCTAACCATACATGGGATGCAGGATGCAAACCCCTTCTGGACTGGAAAAAAAAACATTGTCAGAGAACATGATTCAGGCAGCAATTAGGTTTCCAGGGTTGGTTTGTGAGTGTTTGCTGTAGCTTGAAAAATGAGATTATATTTGACCTGATTCTTTTTACAATCCACTTCACCTTAATTATGAGCTAGAACTAAATGTACACAAACAGGCACGCTATTTAAACAACAAC